AGTGTCATTTCCAACGAAACCTGACACCATCAAACAATGCACACTAAGTAATAAGCAAAAATATGCTTTCATAATTGTTACTATATAGTCATCTATTTAGTTCCTAAGTCTTTTGAATGCCTCTGCGTGCTGTACATTTTCTGATAATTTTAAAACGACGAAAATAAGTAAAACACCAATTGACTGAATGGAGTAAAAATAAAATAAAAGGATTAAAGATTGTTTATAATTTAAAAATGAAAGCTAAATCTGAATAAGTTTTGTTTCTTGTGAATCTCTGATATCAATATCTAATTAATTAATTACATAAGCATGTTTTTATTTTATTTTAAGGTATCAAATGAATTAAAAATAAATGTATTGAGTAATATTCAATGTGCTGAATTTGGTATTCCTAGTTGTTATTATGGTTCAAATGATTCAGTACATCTTGGTAAAAGTTTTGTACCTTTTCTGAGTACGTATGTGTCTCAATTGCAAACATTGTATCTTTGGCGACCAGATGATTTTGCTTGGGCATCTAGTAAGTTTATTTTAGATAAAAATCTATTCAATTCAGTTTATAACTTATACTTTTCTCTTTTTCTATTTCTAAATCTGAATTGAGAGTTTAATGAATGAAACTGGTATTTCTGTAAGATCAAGCAAGCTCGATAATCGAAAAAACCGTTGCCATTTATTTCTTTGAATTTTTTATTTAGCATTATTGAATTTCACTAACAAGGGAACCTTCCGAGGTGCTAAAAAGCTTTTGAGCCCAAATTTTGTCCATAATTACGGGATATATAGAGTAGAAAAAGCCTGAGTGAACATGGCCAAGCTGCTGAGTTTTTACAAGAATTTTTCTAAGGGACTCCATTTTTCTCATAAAATGAAAGTTTTGAATATTGATGTGAAACTTTGCCTATATCAAAGTTTCAACTACAGTACTGGCCAAAATTATAGAACCACCTAACATAATTCGTTTGTATGAAAAATTTTATTTTTCATGAAGAAGTATTTTCTCTCTAGTATACAGTATTATATGGATTCTTATACTCCCTTTCAGAATATGATAATAAAACTTCCTTATTTCATAAAAGTATAACACAATAAAATTTAAAAAAAGTCAGTCAATTTTCACTGGTCAAAAATATAGAACCACCTAGAGTATTTTACAAAAACTTTACAGACATTACTGTGAATATTTACTAAATGTTCCACCCAGACATTTTATACATTGATAAATACGACGAGGCATCGAATCGACCAAGTTTGTACATGGTAAGCATGTTATACCACTCTATATTGCCTGAATCATTTGTTCCAATTGTGTAACATTGGCTGGTTTCATTTTTGTCAATTTCTTATCAATATGATTCCATAGATTCTCTATTGGATTAAGATCGGGCGGCATCGCTGGCCATTTTGATAACTTTAATACCTTTATCTTGAAGCCATTTCATGGTATAATTAGATCGATGTGGTGGTGCATTGTCATGCATGAACACCCAATTTTTGTTGAATGAGTCGAATGTGTTTTCAATAAACGATGTTAAGGCTTCTTCGATGATCTTAACATATGCGCATCCATCAACCTTGCCAGAATACATGACTAATGGACCTCTAGTACCACCTGCCGTACATCCCCAGACGCTGATACAACCTCGACCGCCTTGCACCTTTGGAATAAAACTGAAGGGTTGATCAGCTTCTGATGGTAGACCACGAACGAATGTACGATTTTTTCTGTTTAGCACTTCAAAGTGTGCCTCGTCACTCCAAATAATGTTATTCCATTCATGAGACCAATATTGATGTTCATGTGCAAACAAAAGTCGTTGTTTCTTGTGAGCAGGTGTTCTTAATGGTTTCTTTTTTGCTTGATAACTTTTGTAGCCCATGTCTAGCAACCGACGACGAACGGTTCGGGCACTCAAATGTTCACCATTTGACAGTATCAGTTCAGATGATAACATTTGACTCGATTTGGTTCGATCTTTCTTGCATAATCGTAGTAAATTTCGATCATTAATTGGTGTTGGTGCTTTTTTACGATCTTGACCAGGTGCATTTAACAGAGGCAAATTTTCCTTGAGCTTCTTTGAGACGTTGTAAACACATTTTTTTGAAACACCAAGAGTAGTAGCAATACGACGTTGAGTTATCCCAAATTCCAATAATGCTTTAATTTTGATCTTTTTGTTAAACGGTACTTTGGCTCGACCCATCACAGGTGCTTGCATAATCAGCAGGAACACAATCACTGGTATTTGATACAATTTGAATCAAATAAATACAATATATTCTTACAGTGTCAAACTTTATGATGGTAAATTTTGATAAATAACGGTTGTCAAATAAGACAGGAACGATTGAAATATTCTTAGTGGTTCTATATTTTTGACCAATGAAAATTGACTGATTTTTTTTGAAAATTTTACTGTGTTATACTATTATGAAATAATGAAGTTTTATTGTCATATTCTAAAAGAGCATATATGAATCTATATAATGTTGTATATTAGAGAGAAAATACTACTTCATGAAAAATAAAATTTTTCATACAAACGAATTATGCTAAGTGGTTCTATAATTTTGGTCAGTACTGTAGAATAACTTATCAATAAAGTTTCAGAATTTTTGATCGAAGTATTATCGAGATATGTTTTTTAAATTCCATCCGTACTACAATATCCGTAGACAAGTGTGTTTATAGTAACAGACTCATATCTCGAGAATGCTTCGATCAAAAATTGTGAAACTTTATTGATAAGTTACTCTAGTTGAGACTTTGATATGGGCAAAGCTTCACATCAATATTCAAAACTTTCATTTTATGGGAAAAATGGAGTCCCATAGAAAAGTTCTTGTAAAAACTCGGCACCTTGGCCAAGTCACAACTTGCGGCCATATCCACTCAGGCTTTTTCTAGCCTATATATCCTGTAATTATAAACAAAATTTGGGCTCAAAAGCTTTCTAGCATCTCGGGAGGTTTCCTCGCAAGCTTATCTTCATCGATTAAATCTATTCATGCGAAAATGAAGATGTTCAAAATGGTTTTGGTCTCATCGAGAATTCAATAAGTTTTTTTTGACGAAACTAATATGTTGTTTTAGAAAACAATTGTGTATATAGTTAAATTGAATTTTTTCGGTTCATCTTATTGCTATCGACTTAGATCAAAGTTCAATAGTTAGGACATTTTCTTTCTTTCGATATTTAATGTAACTGAGATCAAGGGTTATTGAGTGCATCAACCAAGGGGGAAACGGCGGATTTTCGGGATTTTGAATCCCAATAAAAATCCAAAAATCCCATGATAATCCCAAAAATCCCATAAAAATCCAAAAATCCCATGATAATCCCAAAAATCCCATAAAAATCCCCAAAATCCCATTATAATCCCAAAAATCCCATTATAATCCCAAAAATCCCATTATAATCCCAAAAATCCCATTATAATCCCAAAAATCCCATGATAATCCCAAAAATCCCATGATAATCCCGAAAAATCTCATGATAATCCCAAAAATCTCATGTGAATTCCAGAATTAGGATTAAAATGATTAGGATTTTATGATTATTCGAAAGGACAACTATGCACAAATAAGATTAATCCCGTGACTATCCGACTTTTTCTTATAAAAATGGTGCTCATTCAATCTCTTCGCGTTTTAAAATTTATAGTTCCATAAAGATACTGTAGCGAATAGTAGCACTATTCCTTGTAGAAATATAATCTAATGTAAGATATGTGCTTAGGGTATTATTTATAAATAAAATTGAACGATTTTGAATATCTTTGTCTTTTCCATTATTTATTGAGGCTGTGGTGCTCACATATAGACACTGGTAATATTATTTCATAGACAAAGATGAAAATATTAATGTTCTATACCACCAAGAGTGCTTAAGTGTTCCAACTGGAAAATCAAGAAATCCCAAGAATTATATTTTGCCTTAGATATATCCTTAAAAACACAATATTGAAGCTGATTCAAGTATCGTATTATCGTCAATGAACATTTCCATATGTGACTAAATTTTATTGGACAAGCTGTTTATGACTTGATGAAATTTGAAGTTTTTTTTTTAATTTTTCTAAAAAGTTAGGAAGTTGTAGAACAAAGTCTGCAATATTTAAGTCTTCTTTCGAAAGTTTATACTGCTTTCCGTATGGCAATACGGAAATATGAGCTTTCTCAAATAGACGCCATAAAATAAATGCTACAGATACGATTTACGGAATCCAAAAATGATAATGACAATATTAGAGTTACAAATCTAACTATTTAGGTGTTTGTATCGAAAAATAATTCGTTATCTCCTGATGTTGATATAAGCTCTAGTGAGGCTATACCCAATTATCAAGAAATTTTCAAAATAAGATAACTAAAGAAAACATGTCATTTGAAGGTCTGCAAACTTTAATGATATGATCAAAACACATACGAACTGTTCAATATACTTTGACTCACTATGCAGATGTGTTCATATTCAACATACGGAATGAGTTGAGAATTTATCCAGAAGTAGCTGACCT